ACTTTTTGTGAAACCGCAAGTCCAATTGCTTTGATATTACACATATAGGTATTACATGTGGACCTCTCTCAGATTTGTTTATTGTGTAATGATATCTTTAATTCTCTAATTTTGGTGAATATTTTTGTAATTTTTGGTAAAAAGTGATATTTTCAACTTTTTGTTGAAAACCGCAAGTCCAATTGCTTTGATATTACACATATAGGTATTACATGTGGACTTCTCTCAGATTTGTTCATTTTGTAATGATATCTTTAATTCTCTAATTTTGGTGATTATTTTTTGTAATTTTTGGTAAAAAGTGATATTTTCGACTTCTTGTTAAAAACCAAAAGTTCAATTGCTTTGATATTACATATATAATAACTATATGTAGACTTTTCTTAGATTTGTTCATTTTGTAATGATATCTTTAATTCTCTAATTTTGGTGATTATTTTTTGTAATTTTGGGTAAAAAGTGATATTTTCGACTTCTTGTTAAAAACCAAAAGTTCAATTGCTTTGATGTAGACTTTTCTTAGATTTGTTCATTTTGTAATGATATCTTCAATTCTCTAATTTTGGCGAATATTTTTGTAATTTTTGGTAAAAAGTGATATTTTCGACTTTTTGTTGAAAACCGCAAGTCCAATTGCTTTGATATTACACATATAGGTATTACATGTGGACTTCTCTCAGATTTGTTCATTTTGTAATGATATCTTTAATTCTCTAATTTTGGTGAATATTTTTGTAATTTTTGGTAAAAAGTGATACTTTCCACATCTTGTTGAAAACCGCAAGTCTGATTGTTTTGATACTCTACATATTGTTCATTTTTAGCTCCGCTGTCGACTTTGTCGAGCGGAGCTTATCATATGAGTGATTGTCCGTCGTCGTCGTCGTCGTCCGTCGTCGTCGTCCGTCGTCCGTGTCAATGTTTTACTTTTTCGACTTCTTCTTGAAAACTACAAGCCTGAATGCTTTGATACTTGGTGTATATGTACCTTGGGTAGACCTCTCTCAGATTTGTTCATTTCATGATGATATCTTCAATTCTCTAATTTTGGTGAATATTTTTGTCATTTTTAGTAAAAAGTGATATTTTCGACTTCTTGTTGAAAAACCGCAAGTGCAATTGCTTTGATATTACATATATAGGTACTACATGTGGACCTCTCTCAGATTTGTTCATTTTGTAATGATATCTTTAATTTGATGAAC